AAATAATATTTCGAGGGAACGAAATAATAATTCGTTCGAACGAAACATTATTTCATTCCCTCGAAATGATTTCGTTTCCTCGAAATATTATTTCGTTCCCTCGAAATAGTTTAATATTTTTTTTTAACCATGTCCCATTAGGGGCTCCGTACAAAAACAACAGAAAAAGAATTAGGAAACTTATCTAAGCCTGCAGTTGAACCTGAAGAGGAACCTGAATTACCTGAAGTGCGGGAAAATCAAACGTTAGCTGATCAACATGGTAAACTGTCTGAGCAACTAAACGGTAAACTTGATAAAGTATTAGAAAATACTAAGTCATATAACAAACGACTCACCAAACTCGAAAAATGATTTAAAGATATGGAACAGTTAGTAAAATTTGCAAATGATACTGCAAAAGAAGCAAACGATGAAGTAAAACAAATTGGAAATGGAGGACATTAAATTCAAAATGGTGGTCTTACAAAATAAAATGGCGGACATGGAGAAACATCTAATATGCCTATAAAGTTATGAGTCATGAGCATATACTTTATCATAATGCATCTTGTTGACTCTTAATGTACTTTATACTTACCCTTCAATTGTAAATATGATTAAAGAACTATCATTATCATATTGAATTTCGACATTATTTTTGTAAATATTACACAAAAAAAAATAGTCACTTACTGTCAAATGATGTTCTGCTTTTGTTTTTGATCTTGCACCTGGCTTTGATCAGTGCTCACCACCTGACCATTAAATCTAAATTAGATTAATCTAAATATGAGTCATAAAAACACAATAGTCCTGTAAAGTATAAATACTATGTTGAGTTCTACAGTATTTTACCGTTTTATGTGAATATTTACCGGAATAGTAATATTCACTCTCAAGCAAAAGAAATGTGCTTGCTATGATCATGCTCCTGGTTTAGGTAATGTACCTGACTATTAAATAAAACCAGTTTAAGACATTCTCTAAGGCCCAAGCCTATAGTTTTTTTAATACAATGAAAATATCGCACCTTTAAATATTTGATTTAGGAATATTGTCATTCTCTTATGTTTAAGAGCAACTGTTATGTATCCGAAGCAATAATAATACATATCGTTTTTAAAGCTAGAAATAAATTGATTAGCACTGTTAATGTAAATTTAAGAATTGGAAATGAAACAATTGCAAAAGCAACAAGTCAAATTCTTAGGCCTTTTTTTGAATGAAGCTCTCACATTTAATTATCATATAAATGAAATTGCAACGAATGTTTCAAGGGTTATTGGTGTCCTTAATAAGGTAAAACCAATATTATCAAGTAAAATAATGTTAACAATATAGAATGCACTTATACTTTTAACTTATGTACCGGTATTACATCATAGGGTACTACGTCTGCTAGTAATCTAAATCGTTTGCACATACTTAAAAAGGCATTAAGAAATATCTGTCATGTTGACCGCTGACATCCTTCACATCCTTTGTTTATTGTTATTCAAACATTAAATATTTTTGATATTTAATTTAAAAAATTGCCATATTTAAGTATCAATAAGAAACAACTTATTTAAGACATTTGAAAGTTTGGTAACCATGCATTATTCATAATAATCCTTATAGAACATATTTTGCGCATGCTATTTTCAAGTTAATGCCAGCCACAACTATCAGCTGCTCTGTGCATCACGAGGGACCTAGTGTTAGATTTTGAGAACGACGCCCCATTCGCTTATAATCTCAGGATTCAGGTTTTGTATGGGTCTTGTTTTTGAATCAATGCAGGAATAAAAAGTGAATTGATAATAGATCAATTTATTATCATTTGTGAAAATACAAAACACTATTTAACGGTTGTTCAATTAAAATACGCTATTATCAAATCTGTGTCAGCCTGAATAATCAGCTGCTCTTATCGCGAATCAGTGTATGGGCCTTTGATTGTAGGCCTGTGAATCAATGCAAGAATAAAACAGGTGATTGATTTGATACATTGAATGAAGTGATACTTTACATTTACTGTCCAGTCTGCATATAGATACTAAATAGTTGTTCAATTAAAGTTTAATAAAATTCCACATGTAAGCTAAGGAACTTCGCTCGACGCTACGAAGCCATACTTCGAAAATTATGCCCATACACTGGTTCCACCATCTGCTTTACGATAGGCCAAGACGATTCATCTATTATAGATGATCATTTGTCATGCGATACCAAAGGCCTAAAACCAAATCACTTTTTTTTATTCATATCTTTGACATATACTTTCAGCCAGTTTTTAACCTTTTACCCTATATTGTAATTGTTTTCGGTTCAATGCAATGAAAAAAAAATTAATTAATACAAGGAGGTAATGTGAAATGATTAAGAGTAAACTTCAAACTACTTTTACCAATTAATATATAGGGCCTATCTGTTGACATTCTTTAAAAGACCGTAAAATGCCTCCACATTTTCAGTAGTGGTTAGTAGTGATGCCTCCACATCACTACTAACCCCAACGAGCAACGAACCTCTGCTGTCAAATGAAATCAGAATACTGTATTGTACCTTACGACGACGTATGCAAAATAGGCTTCAGATTGGACTTCAGCCATCGTCTTCTTTTGATTGGACGTTCAATTTTCATTATCCCGCCAAAAGATTTTCTCTCTATGCGGACTGCTAAGTAAGTACTCACTGTGCTGTGATTGGTTGAAACCAAACTCGTATAGTGTAGCACTGAGCAGGCGTAGGCGGAACGAGGACTGATTTTGGCGGCTAAAATCGGTCCCGCGGACAAATTTTAGCGGCCAGAATCCGTCCCCCGGACTAATAATGGCGACTAGATAATCGGTCCGAGGGACCGATTTTGGCCCGGACCAATTTTGGCGTGACACTCCAACTCAACACATATGATCCGACAAAGCTGTAGTAGTATAGAGATGCGTGGATGCGTATAAACATCATAACTATCGAATCACCAAGGAAATTCAACTCATGGCCTGAAATACTGTTGAAATGCAAAAGTAGTCCTACTGTACTTTCTGTAATAAATATTAAAAAAAAACACAATTTAATCAGAATGTAATAGGCTTATGACAGTTGTATTTAACACTTTGCTTCACAAAAAATGTACAACATGTCAACATAGGTGTCTATTACTAAGATTCCTAATTTTCAACCAAATATATTGTATGTTTACATTTTTGTTAAGTTTACTAAAAAAACAGATCGGATGTTGATATACCGGTAATAGACTGAATGAAAAGGCTAACTGTTACGTGATTACAATACACTTGCATAATTATGCAACTAATGTAGGCCTAGCTAGGCCTACTCTTATGAAGACCATTGTGCTCACATTTTTATTTTAATCGAACTAGGTTCCTCGTGATAACCGAGCAGCTGATCATTGAGGCTGACACGGACTTAAAAAAATAGCACATGCGCAATTCTATAAGGATAATGATGAATAATTTATGAGATTTTACAAACCCTACGTTAAAACATATTGCTTACATACTGTAGCGTAGCCGTGTTTGTTCTAATTAACATAGAGGGCGAAAGACCTAAATAACATATTCTCCGGGTATTGACTACTAATTGATACTCCGTAGTTACACTAGTTTATTTAAGACAAAATTAAGAAATATATAGGGTAAACTTTATAACTTAGTGGACGACGAGAGTTGCTGGTACCGGGTAGCACAGACACGAAGGGATCCTGGGGCGAAGAAAGTCATTGATCGAGTTCCTCAGTCCACATATCAAGCGCCCTGAGCATCTTACATTAGATGGATATGTGCGCTATATATATCTACACTATTATCATTATTATTATTATTATTATTATTATTATTATTATTATTATTATTATTATTATTATTATTATTAATAATAATATTATTATTATTATTATTATTAATATTATTATTATTATTATTATTATTATTATTAATATTGACAAAGGCAAAAAAAAAAATGATAAAGAATATAGTAAGAATAGGTTGAAGCAGGGAGCATGAGCATACTGCAGAACGTAATTTAGTAGAATTTTATACCTTAGTTAGTTCATGCATACACGTGCACTCAAGTTTCATATATTTTTCAAGCCTGAAAAGCCAATGTCTCATGGCCCTTGGCAGTGGTGGCGCCAGGTCCTATCTCCCAGACGAAAGATACATATAAGACCATTTTATTATGTATTTTTGCGTCCCCGGGCGTTTAGGGGAACTCTCCGGGATCGAGGTGGCGGAGCTGAGTCAGGGATTTTTTATAATTGAGGTCTTATCGATTCTGAAGATTCATATAGGCCCCTATACTTTTCAGTCAGTGGCAGATCAAGGACTTTGATGAGGGGCCAGGTAGCGGTACTTTGCAAGATGGAGGACCACCTCAGCCCCACCATGTTTGAGGTTGAGGGAAGAAAATTTGTAATATGGCACCTATGTCCGAAAATGTCCGAAATTACATTCTCATACAATCTGAATACTGTATCATTTTTCACCATTATTTTATTTATTTATTTATTTATTTTTTTTTGAGGGAGGACCAGATTCAACTGCTTCTTGAATCCCCCACTGTCAGTGGTGGATCTAGGAATTTCATATATAGTGTGCAAAGGGAGGACTTTTCAGATTGAGAGTCCACACCTCAGCCGCACCATCGTTGGGGCTATAGGCCTAAGACATTGATCTCTAGATGGCCGGAAATGGCACTCTCGACAGACCATGCTTAGACATGAACATAAATTTCTTTTCTTTTTAAAAATAATTTTGACAAATATGGTTGGGGGGGGGGGGAGGTACGCGTACGGGCCTGTTCAGGCTCTTACTGCAGCAAAGGAATGACGTTTTTTTCTTTCAGTTCTGTAACGCATGCTGACGTAATAATTGATTTGGTTCATGGTCCACCAGGTGCAAACAAAAACACGAGACCTTGTTTACATCCTGGGAATTTTCAATCGATAGAGCTCTGCGACCCCGGAGTCAATAGCCACATCAGCCAATCACCGACCATAACCTTAGTCACATGTAACGGTGGTTAAAACCAAAACAACATTGGGGCTCTGTGTGTTTGCACGTTGTTGAGGCCAGCACATTTTCCAGAATATAAAACCTGTCCTTATCCTTGAATGTCCGATATTGGACAAGTTTCTCTTAAAACAAGGATAGTTTATTTGGTGTATATTCGCATTTTGAAAGCTTGGAAGGTCTGCTGAGCCGAACCAGGAGACATGGAAGGGTCAGTTGTTCTGCAAAATGGAATTGAAAATGGCGTGAACGGATTGGAGAAGGGCCAAGAGATGGACATGTCGAACAACAACAAACTTACCAACAATGAACTAATCCCTTCTGAGTCTCCTGTTCAGGCCAGAGTGACTCGCAAAGCCAAGAGAAGAGTGAAGCATAGTCCGCAAAAGGATGCAGTGGCAAGTGTTGGCCTAGACAGCCTTGTGAAGGAGAAAAACTGTAGAAAATCACGAAGTGGTAGAGGTCGTGGCCTACCAAAGAAAGGTAAATAATAAAAGAAAGGTAGCTAGGGCCTAGCCCTCGGCCTACTAGACTAGGGCCCGGTGCCTAGGCATAGGATAAGCGACTCAGACTTTATCCAGGCTAGCCGCTAGCATAAATTTAGGGTCTAGGCCTAGGCCCAGACTGGGGAGTTTGTAGCCTAGTAGGCGAGGCTGTGCCTGTAGGGCCTAGGTCCTAGAGAGGCTAGGCCTATTATTACATGGATGTACCCAGCCCAGGCCTCCCTGGCCTAGGCCCAAGTCAGTTTTCTCACAAAAAATATCATGACACCCTACGTAAGGCCTATGGTAAGTCTAAGCCCTATAAGACTTCGGCATAGTTGCAAACTTATATACAGATTTTCCAGTTGTACTACGGATGAACAAAAACTCGCAGATTTGTAGGTTAACTACTGACGGATCAAGATTTTAACACTAATAATTAAAGAAATTAGATAATAAATAATGCTTTGCGAACAGCATAAACAGTAATATGCAATAAATAAATCATTTACCATTTATCTTTAGTGTTTAGTGTAGCCAGGGTGTGGCAAATGATGAAGGCCAAGGGTAAATAGTGTAAGCCCAGTACGCTCATTTAGGCCCTAGTTGGAATTGTAAACAAACTTATTTATTTTATTATATTTTATTAAGGTATAAAACACGAAACAAAACAGCAGCCAAAGGCTGAAAACGTTTGTTTACAATCAACAAGCAAAGACAACATACGAAAACAGGTCAGGTGGAAAAATACATATCGAAATATCAAAACATTCAAATAATTACATTAGAAAAGTTAAAAATTAATATCATATTACAAAATATATATGTAAATATATACACCATATAATTAAATTTCAAAAATGTTTAATTAATTCAAAATTTAAAATGCATTATGATGATACAGGATTAAAATCAACCCAAACAGCATCCGCTGAACAAATAAATTAAACTTAATTAACTACTGTTAATTTGATCAATCCAAATAATTAACAGTAGTAGGTACAGTATGTATCAAGAGTATAGTTGTATTAAGGCCAACTCAGACAGCGTTGGCCGACGCAGCCCGACGCAATTTGTTGTCGTGTCGGGTCTGTGTGAGTTGAACGCAGACGCGATGGTGTGCGTCGGGGGCAGTCGCGTAGTAGAATATTAAACGTGTTTAATATTTCTCACGACGGCTTAAGACTGTCCCCGACGATAAATCGGGTCGGGCTGCGTCGGCCGACGATGTCTGAGTTGGCCTTTAGACCTAAGGGTTCTCTTCTGCCCGCGGCAAGGAGGCAGCATGTCACGAAAGCAGTCAGACTTAAGCAAACCCCTGCCAAAAGACAAAACAAGGGTTCTCTCCTTGCCGCGAGTGATGGTAAACCCGTAACCTCTAGGGCATTGTCAAAAGTAATGTAGGCAGCACCTAACATTATGCAACATGCTCTTTTCTGGATGGTCTCAATGCTGCTATTGGCCATTTTATTGGTAATAGCACCATGCCATACTTGGCAAGCGTATTCCACGATGGGCCTAATGTAGGAAGCATAAACAGTGAGTAGGTCATCAAGAACAACGTTGGCTTTCTTTCGTATACACAGAACAAACAGTCTTCTCGATGCCCGTGAGACGATATCTTGAGTGTTAAGGTCCCACTTCAAATTACATTGGATTATGACACCAAGCAATTTCATATGCTCTACTACATCAATGTTTGTACTATTTAAATTGAAAATGGGGGGCTCTACATTAAACACTGATACCTTTCAAAAAATTTAGTCATTATATGGCACTTCATGTTGTTCTCATTGCACCAATCATTATGATCATTAAGCATCTCCTGCATTGAAGTTACCAAGTAATGCACCGCGCACGTTTTGTTTGCTTGTTTAACTTTTCCACTTGACAGTCTGTACATCACGATTATCCATCCTCAGAAAGACCAGTTAGTAAAAAATGTTTTAATTTTACACAATTAACTGTCGGCTGCAAAGCAACATTCAGTTTAAAGTACTGACGCACTTTGGTCAAATTTAAATGAGTAACTTTTTGATAAGGTAGATATTAATTTGTTCATATCCAAGTTCGATAAAATCATTAGTGAAAATGCTCATATTGTGCGAGCTTCCAGGGGGCTTCGCCCCCTCGACCTCCACCACGGGCCCTAGGCGGCCCTCTGGTCCCCAGCCAGTGCCGCGTTTCTCACAAAATTGATTTTCGGAAAAGTTGGCAACTATGCTTAGACCTAGCATAACCTTTATTCTTATTTACAATTTATACCGTATGCTATCTCGGTATATGATAAGGAAGGTTTGGGTTGGCAACAGCTTGGAACACTTACCAGTATTACTGGGATGGTGTACGGTACTGTATTCCTAGTCACAGCAATATTATTGTCATACCAACCTTTTTATCTATTGTTTACAGTATGTACCAGACTGTATAGTAAGACCTGCGCAGGAAATATCCTCCGTGCAAAAATTTGGCCTAGAAATCTTTACCTGCAAATATCTGAATATAAACTAAGTATTATGCAGTAATTACGATTCCGTGCACCTATTTTCCTAGCGATTTTCCGCGTAAATTTGAGCTGATTTTTTAGGTATCATCCACGCAATTAAAAAACTTTACAGTATGGCACATGTAGGCCTATTTATTTTTGTAAATATTTGTACAGTAGAACCTCATTTTTACGTACCTCAGTTATACGAACCCTCAGTTTAACGTACTCCTCGTACGGACGATGATGTCATCAAAACCCCCAATAAACTCTAACTTTTCAGGACTACCATGTAAAAAGAGATTTGTTAGTTTCTGTTTTTATTATTTCAATACTATAACAATAAACAAAGCATGCAAAGTATTTGCATTCAACAGCATCGTTGATTGTGTCTAATTAACGCGCTGTTATAATCTAAAACCTCGTGGACTGAGTGAGGTGAACAAACTATCGTTGGTGCTCAAGTTAGCTTCGTGTTAAAAACTCATCTGATCAAATTTTCTACACAAAGTTTACTAAAGCAGCTTTTAAGTAAACTTTGTGTAGAAAATTCGATCAGACGAGTTTTTTTACATGAATGCTAATTTAAAAATTTTTTTTTTTAAATTATTAATTATTAATTGGTTGGCTCGCCCAGTGCAGTGCACATGCTTTTAGTTTGTCTCAGCAGGCCCAGACAAACACCGCAGCTCTGTTGTTTAGAATAGCTATGAGGGGAATTCCCAAGTTACTGTCATACAGTACCTTTGTCGTATAGGTAATCTTAACAATATTTTAATGTTCTTTAGTTAAGTAACAGATGTTAAGTGATGAATTAATACACTAGACACATGGTTCAGCCCTCGAAATGAGCGTCGGCAATGCCGAGGTAATTGCCGACGCTAATAGCAAGCTTACCACGGCACCAATTTGCCGAGGCTCCTTTTTTATAGGCCTATGCCTAGCAAGTGTCCTAAAGAAATTTCAGCTTGTATGCACACAGAGTGTTAACATTTTTCAGTTTATTATTGTGTGTAAATTAAAATTAAACATTTATTTTAATTGTGTAAAGTAACAAATTTAACAACGCCAAGTAAGACGTGCTTACAAACCAGGAATTACCACAGTCAAGCCGATGTATTCATGCATGCTGTAAACACAATGGCCCAAGCATTTGTTGTGGCAGAGGCGGTGTGGCGAACGACGAGGGCGTGGAAGATTTTTGGTAGATTCCGGCCTGGGTACTCTATATTGTGACATATGTTCATTTTAAAGCAGCCGTAAAATTAATGATTAATTTATACTATTATTATAATATACCATATGTTTTAATGTTTTTATTTAATGCTGTTTTTACGAAATAAACTTCAATATACAAAGAAATTAAAAAGTTAGTGGTTGACTTGTTTATTTTGTGTACGTGTTTTACCTGTTAATCGAATGGATCAGGATGATTTATCAAATGAATTTGAGACGGCCATAGAAAAGCGCTCAAAATTATCACGTGACACGTTTCCATTCAAGAAAACGCGATTGTGTTGTTTTTTCAGGAAGTCCTTCAAAATCTAATTGAATCCATCATTCAGATTGGTGAGATAATCAAATACAAATGATTATGCATGATTTTAGTTATGACGGCGTTTCTGTCTGATGAGATTTTGTGTAAAATTTCAATTTTTATTGATTTTAGATGTCATTATGTGTGACTGTTCAAAAATCTGCCTCTGCATAAATATTATTTATATAATTGATAGGGCCCTATAGCATTTATTTAAACAACCATACAAAAAATATTTGTCATAAATAATAATATATTTGATAAATATATTTAATAATAATAGTTCATTTGTTCAATCCCTGTCCAAATGCCAATGCTACAATAAATTGCATTAGGGCGATAGAGGGGACTTGAACGCTAAATTCCGCCCCTGTATTTTGGCAATAACTCATAGAAACTATTGATAATGTAATAAACGGGTGATTACAATTATTCTAATTACAGATCATGCCATCAAAGAAGACAGTAGTGAAGTGGGGATTTAGTAATTTAGGTTACGAGGTGGACGAAAATGATAACGTAACAAAGATTTGGTGTAAGACCTGCCGCGAATTTAGCGAGGTGTGTCAGCAAACTCCCAGCACAAGATCAATTACCGGGGCAGTTCACCCCAATGTTTTCGCTAAGGGAACAACAACAATTAAGAAAAACAACTTTCAGGACCACCTAAATAAGAGTCGCGCCTACGAAATATCAGTAATGAGATTTACAGAATTAAAGAGAATTAAAGCGAGTAGCGAAAACAGCGGCGAGACGATCACTACTGAGACCCGGCCGAAAACGATAATGCCATATCTTCGGGCAGTGTCATCTAAACAACACCTTCAACTGGTACGAAAATTTCAACTGGCCCACTTTTTAGTTGGAAAAGCTAAATCTTTTAAATTTTATTCCGAAATGGCCGAGTTTGAAAAAAATGTACACCGTGTAGACATGGTACATTCATACTTAAATGACAAGTCATGCAGGGAAATAATCT